GTGATTAAGGATCTTTAACAAGTTGAAGTTACGAAGAAGACTTGACCTAATCACTTTCGGTTTCGACGCTTTGCTCTGTTTTCACTTCTTAACTTCTTAATCTCAAAGCATGTTTTTAAAAAGGAAAGAAAAACAAATAATTAAAGAAACGTAGTAGTTGATTAAACAAATAAGTGATAACAACTAATCAAATCACACCACGACGAGTTAATCCCGTAATCCGTATGATCAAAACTGACATAATATATATGATCGAAAAGAATCGTGTTGGTGCATAGTTAACTAAAAAACGGTGCAGATCTATTGATTTGATACCTTTACTTTATATAGACACATAAAAACGCAACAACATAGATTCATACATAGAAGACTACTGATGATTCAAGAACATAAAAAGTAGGATCCGTACTCTTTGGAGAGAGATTGAAAGTATCGATGGATCTCTTGGGTCCTTTGCAAACTTGGCAAAGTTTATACGACAATGGTCAAAGAAGAGAGAAGACGATTATTAGTGTGAGTTTAGAGAGAGAGCAGAATGGGTAAGAATTTTAGATCCAGGGTGGTGCAGAAGCACGAGAGCTTATTATACACACACACAAAATTATTATTTTTATTTTATATGGTTCAAAATTAAAATCCGGACAAGTTATTATGATTTTAAAGAAGAAACGTCTCTACCTAAAAAAAAAAAAAAAAGTTGATAAAGTAACGAAACGCCATTCTTGTTATTTCTTTCTTTAGTTTTTTCTTCTTATAAAAATGTTCTTTAATTATGATCAAATAATGAAAAAGTCAGTATCGTTTCAGAAAAAAAGAAAAGAAGTAAACAAGATATTATAATATATACCATTTTTCTTCACAGCTAATATAATATTTATAGCATAAATAATTCTAATAAAAACTATTTTGACAACAACAAAAATGAAAGGGAATTGGAAATGCCTCCATAACTTTATAAGAAAAGAAAAATAAATTTTAGAAATTGCAAAATTCGCCCATAACTTTATCCCTTTATCAGATTCATAAGATAAGAATTTGGCAGCTTCTGTTTCTGGCAACACCACCGTAGATACTCCCCCAAGTTTGATGACGTGTCACTCTATAGCTGCACCGTTACACCATTTTTTTTTTTTTTTGCCGGGCACCGTTACACCATTATTTTCCCTTTTTTTTAAAAAAAAATCTTAGTTAATTGCTTTTTCGTTTTCATTAACCTTTTTCCAATTTAATTTTTTGCTTATTTTCAGTACTTTACTTCTTTGTATTTTCTGCAGAATTTTGTAATTATTAGGTGTTGAGTGAATAACAATGACAATTTTTGGTAAGTTGCTTGATTAAATTGGAATCGGACTCCAATTTGAAGCCTTAATTAAAGGCCTTATCAACCAATAGTAATAGTTTAAAAGGAGCCATAAAGATAATTAGGTTACACGTCACGGAAGCGAAGATCCATTGATGTTCATTCACCAAAACACATTTAATTTCAAATATATTAAGGGATTGCAGTAGGCAACCCGAAATTCTGTCCTTGAAATAATAAAACACTGACTTAAATTCGTATTTGTTGTGTCGTCACCATTATGTCTTAATCTGATGATGATGATTGAAAACAAGATTGTATAGACGATTTATGGTCGTCCAATAGTCTATATTGTAGTACAATATTGATCGTTATCAAATTATACTATTTATAATTTTGCGTCAAACTGACTAGACAGTATCCATGCCTGAAAAGCATCATCACTCAACAGAAGTAGTGCCAACCAAAAGACAGTATGAACATATTTGCTTCAACTCAACTGTTCTTGATAACCGCTTTAGAGATTTGTTTTTATGTTCCCTGTGATAAATTTAACCAACATTCATGAAACCTATCACTACTCTTTTTATAATTTGTAACTGCAACCACTCTCCCGTATAATGTATAATTTTGTCAATGTTTTGATGGTGGAAAAACTTTACTTTTAATGGTTGAAAAATATAATTTATCCATAAATTTCAGTTAATATGTTTACTGTTTAGGCTAAAATCATGAACGAATCACTTAGCGCTATATGTTATTTAGCTTATGCAAACTATCTAGCTCCACATGTAAATTAGCTTAATTAGCCGGACTCTATAGTACCAAATCATAGTTTTATTTATTGCCTCCTTGGAACAGAGGTAAAAGTATTTGAACTCGGTTTTACAAAAACTTAGTTAACTCGATAGATACCATTTACTTGGGCGCTCAAGGGATGCATTCAAAGACGAGTGGTCAGAAGATGTAAAATATTTCAGAATTATCATAGCCAGCTGCATGATCCCTAATCAGAATCCAACCATATAAATAACCCGCACTTACGCTTTGGGGACAAAAAAAATATCTCTTAGAGTTTGGAAATTTTCACTGTCATTGTTACATAATGCACATACGTTTAGTGATATGCGAATCTGAAGGGTGTTT